CTTAGGGTTATACCTTGACCTACAAAACAAAAGGTCCAGAGGCTCCCTAGTGCATATAAGGCCTGTAAGTCTTGTGAGGCTCTACTTCCGATTACTAAGCTGGTTCGGCTCCCTTTGAGCACACCAACTTGCGATGTGCGAGACGGGGCCCAACTTACTTCCTGTACCACATTTCTAGTGACAAGCATATATTCAAGAACCAGGCTAGCTATTCTCGAAATGTCCGTAGCCCTAAGAACTTCTTAAGCCCATCCTCAACACATAGGCTACGATCAAAGTTAAGAATTCTTAGGGCTACGGATGTTTCGAAATTAAGGGCCCAGTTCTGGTTCCAAATTCGCGCAACCGCCAAACACGACTTTACTAGACCGGACCAAGTGTTCATTGTTTAACAGGTCTCGCTATGTGCGAGAATTTCAAGGGTCCCTACAGGATACATATGAGAGTCCTCTTAAGTAAGCAAATGGTTGCTGTGCAGTGTACTGAAAGATTTGACAATTAATTGCAAAACCTTTATATTTCTTGTCAAGAATTGGGTACAATGAACATTATGGTGTATTCCTTATGATGGAAATAGGCTTGTTTGTTTCGTGTCTAGTCTATATATTTGTGTCTACTGGATGCACATTTTTGTGTCATTTAAGGTCCTGTAGGTGCATCGTACATCAATCATATATTCAACAGCAAGTATCAAAGACATTCAAGACAAGATGGTAAATGCATGAATTCTACATATCTCCTGAGCAAATTCCCATAGGTATTAATAGTGCTCACATTTACATGAGGAATACGGTAAGTGCATGTTTGTTCATGAGAATTCTTAGCAATGCAGGTAATCCATACAGATTCATTAACACAATAATGGGAAAATTCGTTAGTACAGGTGGTTTTTTAAAGAAGAAACATTTACATATCCAAACGAATGCATACCACAATACTTAATGGATTTATTGAAAGTTGATATAACTGTTTGTGTTTTCATCAGAAACAGCCAAGAAAATTTAACAAAGCCAAACACACATGAAAAGAACCAGTAATCCATAAGCATGCAAAACTGTCTCACAACACTCAGCAAAAAGACACCAGGCGAGTAATTGCAATAGATTTCTTCCAGTGAACTTTTTTCAAGCTAGGCTTGGTGCATTAAAAATTTAGTTGTTTCTTCTTCATGGTATTGATTGCACAGGAACCAAACCAAGACGAGCTTCAGTCAGACTGACATGACGTATAGGCGTGAAACGACATACCACGGTATTAGTAGAACCAAAGTATTTTGCCTTCAGTTCGGTATACCATAATGCAATCAAAAAATTCGGTATTTTACTAAACTTTTTAAAATATTTCCTAAAATGTCTAGAAATCGTATCATTTTGTCAAAATCTATGCATTTCTTTGCCAGACGGCTGCTTTTTTCCAGGAAGTAAGTTCTTCCGAAATGGACTGACCAAAGGCCTTGTACCGTGATACGTACTGTACCATGGTGATAGCGCACCATTTCACCCAATGACGTATAAGTGAGTGAGTGAGTGACAATCTCAGATGAAGTGGAAGAGGGCTTAACGTCATGTTCAAGACCATTGCACTTATATTGCTACACGCATGTGTGTTTATGCCTGCTTGTACTCGTCTGGACCACTGCAGGCTTTGAAGTGCTGACTTGTGAGATACCTTTGAAACCCTGCTTCGACACACTATACTCCTAGCTGACCATCCTCTTAATGCTAACCGCCAGACATAGCATTAACAGCAAAGATATCCTTGACAAAATAAAAGGCATGCCACAAAATGAGTAAAACTCTCTGTACTTCCAGACAAAACAAACACTTCAATTACTTCCTAATTGATACGATTAAGAATAAATAAGCCTTAAAATGTTCTTTTAAGTGACAGAAGGAATTGTTATTCATTTCTTAAACTCTCGAACTGTGCATCCAGGATGGAAACTTTGACATTCCTTTTGTTTTAAATGAGAAGATATTTCATTTCCATTTTAAGACCATAATTTGCCGCTATATGATGCATATATCACATCCTGATGGCATGATTCCAACAACCAGTGGCAGAAAATTACAGGGAGGAGGAACCTGAGGTCCTCTGTGTTTGAGGGATATTGTAAAGTTGTTTTTCTCTCAGGACAATGTCAAGCTTTCAGTTTGACTTCAGCATCAGTTTCTCACACTTTTTGTTTGACAATTTGTCAAGAGTTCATCATTTCCATTAAAAGTGGAACAGATAGAAGAATCAGTTTCAAACTGTTACCGAATATACTATAAAAAATGCTTTTGCCCCAGGTGTGTAGAAAAATATGAACTATTCACTGGATGCTAAGAAAAAAGGAAAAAATAGTGCTTGTCCCTTCCTTTCTAAGAGAAAAAATATGTTGGTCTTTAGGCTGTGACAGAAAAATACTGTCTGAAACTAAACATCATCCTTATTGAAACTTAACTTAATGGTATGTGTTGAATGAGTGAGTGAGTGAGAGTATGGTTTTACGCTGTTTTTAGCAATATTACAGCTTTATCATTGCGAGGATATCAGAAATGGGCTTCAAAATTTGCACCCATGTGAGGAATAAAACCCAGGTCTTCGATGCGTGGAGTGAACACTTTAACCACTATGCAACACTACCGTCCCACTCACTACCGTCCCACAAACGTGTTGAATGATCCGATGTTACATTTACTGAAGAACATTATTCAACAGCGAGCTTAACCAACTTATGATACAAAATACAATATGTCCAACAGCAGCATTGGAAGTATTTAAAGAAGGCAACATCTCCTATGATTGTGTTTTCCTCAGTTGGAAGTTACATTATCTACTAGGGTTGGGACGATTCACCAATACATCACGATACATTTTAATTTGACACAGCTATCATATTGTCGACTGGTGTATTGATACAAAACAATACACAACTTTTTTTTCAAAACAGTTTTATCTTAAACATGTTAAAGTACTTAAGTAGAGAAAAATATATAAAGTATGATAGAGTTACTTGTTTGTTTATTACAATAGTGTTATTGTTATACACAAATACCTTCAAATAAATCATTTTAAATCTTAATACTGTGTCATTCTTTCAAGGTGTATGCATCATGATAAGTATCGTATCGTAGGAAAAATATGGCGATACATATCATATCATGACATAGTGTATCGTCCCAGCCCTAATATATACTAAACATAAAACATCAACAACAGAAAATAAACAGTCCAGAATTTCCCCTTCACCGACTTCAATGACAGTGAAAAGCATAACAGCAGTAAAAAAAATCAATGGGTCACTAAAACCATGTTTTGTTAGCAAAAGCGTAAGATGCTCCTACCAGGAGTTCCCGCCACTCACCTAATTTGCACAAAAACATTCATCCTTTCCTGAAACCACACAGCAATACCCCTGCCAAGCCACAGCAGCTTCTAAACAAGCCAGATAATCAAGTGATGGATGGACCAGAAAATTCTGTCACATGATAGCGCATTTACTGATTTTGTTGAAACCGATAATGATATGGAGAACATCAGCTGTAATTTCATGAGGCAGTTAGGGTGAAGTTACGCATTTTATAACCATTGTGGTATGGTATAATACATGAACAGTATAATTTTAACTCGCAGCATTAAGTTTAATAACAGGACCTTTGATTTCAATTCCTCATTTTGAATACCGATTTTTAAGCATCACCTATAACAGCATGAAAAACATGACATTTTAAATCCTGACAATTGCAATAATTCGTTACAAGAAATTTACCATTTATTGACCAACAAAAACAGGTTCTCAAGTTACTGTATTCAACATATAACTTATGTAATGAAACAAAACCAGTGATCTTTTATGGAACATCAATCTGGCAATAAATGAACACTTCTGACATTTAAAAAATTTCATCATTTTTTGTGAAATGTCTTCATACTCCTGTAGTACAATAACATGGACAAAAGGTGAGACACGAGAACTTAAAGATGAAGAGAATACCTGAAAGGGATTGACAGCTGAGGCTTATCTTCACCATGATTTTATATGCTGAAGGATGATGAGTAAAACCATCTTCTGCATCTTGCGGCAGTGCAGGGAGGTGTTTATTATAAACTTTGGCAGAGAACACTTGTTGGTGGCCACAGGTGGTTAAGTTATCACTGTCAGGAGTTCCTTTGATGCTACTAGTTACAGTGCTACTCAATATGATCAATGATGCCTTGCAAAGAAACGATTTGGATCAACGAATATCAGCCTGATACATTCTTAGTGTTTCCCCAGGATCCAAAAAGGGCAGGGTGACAGAATTTCAAAAGGGGAACTCTTATTCCAAAAGCGGCATGCTGTGACAGATTTCTCAAAGAGCAGTTAGTATTATGAGTAAGTTATTCATGCACAGCAATTCTTAAAGGCTCAAAGACCAGACAATCCTGTGATCAACAGCACGAGCAGATCTGCAGTGGGAGTGAGTGTGTCAACCATCAGCGAGCCTGACCACCTGATCCTGTTAGTTGCCTCTTCAGCAATATTCCAGTATAAGCATGGGTTGCTAAATAATTCTACCCCGGATCTTCACGGGTCCAAATAGCAAGTTCACTTAACTTCAACATGAAATAGAAACTAAAACCACCAAGTGTTAACATCAATTATTGCATTAAAAGAAGGGCAGGGCACAAGTAAAGGAAGGGGACCACTGTCTTGGATCAGTCAAGAAAGGGGACACTACTGTGCAGAGATGCCAACCCCAAAGTGTTGCCAATAGTAGTTTCAAGATCAAAATTATTAGTTTGACCATAAAATTAGTAGTCAACTAAATACTTAAAATCGTGATCGTGAGCAACTGAAAAATCCACATTGCAAAGTCGACAAAATGCGTGGATATCGTCACACTGAGACTTTTTTAAACTGCTGAATGTTTCAGATTTTATATTAATTTTCGCTAAAATTATGTTTGTTACTTGCAATGATTCCAGTTCAAATATGCCATTAAATTTGATGAATGGAAGGCATGTGAAGTCCAATAATGTAATTAATCGATGAAATTATATGTTTTTGTCCATACATCCGAATTTTAATGAATTTTCTTCAAAATTCGTAGTATTTCTAGTGCAATTGTATTGGCGTACTTTGAAGCTAAAATTTGTGGATCAGTCAAGAGCGCGGACGATCAGTCAAATACTGTGGATCGTAAGAAGAGGTTGGCATCTCTGTACACTACTGTGGATCAGTCAAGAAGGGGGACACTGCTGTGGATCAGTCAAGAAGGGGGACACTGCTGTGGATCAGTCAAGAAAGGGGACACTACTGTGGATCAGTCAAGAACGGGGACACTGCTGTGGATCAGTCAAGAAGGGGGACACTGCTGTGGATCAGTCAAGTAGTAGGGGGACACTACTGTGGATCAGTCAAGAAAGGGGACACTACTGTGGATCAGTCAAGAAAGGGACACTACTGTGGATCAGTCAAACATGAACTGAGACAAACCAGTCAAGAAGGGGACACTACTGTGCATCAGTCAAACATGGCTGAGACAAACCATGTTGCTCACATACTGGGTAAAAGTGATTGATGAAAATTGTTTACACTGCCTATTCAGATGAGATCAATTACAAATGCCGCAGAGCTTAAGGTCTGGTGAAGGAATATGGAACACGACATTTATATTCAGCTAATGTCAGTGCTGATGGTTTTAGCCATTTAACTCATATATAGTAAGCCATATCTTGTAACAATGTTTTTGATGTAACTTTGCAATCAACTGAATAATGACTTTCAGATTGATTAATTTTCCCACTTTTAATCATTTATGAGTCATCAGAATCTGTATGTCTATCTTGTCTTGTTTAGAAATAATTCATGGAGAATAATTAAAAACGAGGGGATTTATCGGATGTAAAATACTGCGTCACATGCATAAATATTGAAAATGGATGCAAAAAAATACAGGGTGTCTTTTGAGACTAAGAAACTTTGCAAGCATGTTCAGGAATGAAGGATTTTATATAATAACTTGATAGTATTGAAAAATTAAAGCTGTAGGTAATCATTGAAAAAATTAATACATAGTCAATAGCTGCATAATCCTAGTACTAGCAAGTGCAGTTTCAGTTGATGAATTCCATATCCATTTTTTAATTAGCCGCCTTTAGGGCATGTGCAAATTTATGTCACTGGTGGTTGAGTGCTGTGTCAGTATTGGTTGTGGTTAAGTGTGTGCTTCAAAGTATGGCAATAAAAATTAAAAAAGAAATATGGATGTTTTTTGGTGGATCGAATTGAGTACATCTCCAAGTTCAAACAAACATATACATATAGAAAATGTATACATATCCCTGTATTACGGGTTTGTGGAAACTTCTCCCTAATTTCCCGCTGGTCACACGAACAATAGTAAAACACCTCTCTGACTTATTAAAGAGAGCCTTATCTCAACCATGAGCCATCATCGATGAATTTACAAATCTGTGACGCAATATCCCTCGTTATCGTACAAGTAAGCACCGCCATTCAAAACATATGATGCAAAAAAATCTATGATTTTGCAATAATATTTAACATAAACAAAATGAAAAATAAGATAAGGAATTCAGCTGTATTATCTGAATGAAATATGTTACATTCTGTCTATGACATTTCTCTGGGACCCATGTTTTCTACGTTGTGATGCCATCAGTTAATGGTTCTTACTCCCAAAAGTTTAATAAATAACCCAGGTAAATCGGCAAAATAAGGTCTGAATCATTAACCAATGAACGACAATGTTTCACCTGCTATATGTCATCATTTTCTATAGGCGTATGTGCATACAGTAAGAAAAACTTATATAATTAGCTCAATCAAAAAAATATATATGAAACTTTACAAGACAAGGCTTTGGAGATGTTAACTGAAGACTATAAATCTAAAACTGTTTCATTCACCACAGTTTAAGAACAAAGGTTCCAGTCATGTTGAATTAGGACAAAAAAAACAAACACCCAAAACATCTGAATGTCTAAATCCATCAACTCCTGGCAGCGTCCAGCTCATCCTTCTAACCAAAACAGTTTCAGAATCGAGCAGTTTGCCTAGTAATCCATGTGGCTCGAAAACAGTGTATATGTGTGTATGTAAACAAACACACATCCCTCGGAGATGGGAGCAGTGCTCATTCCTTACAGGTAATGAACCCGTACTTGTGGGAAGCTCTGATCAGGTATAAATTGTCTTTATAAATACTTGGTGGAGGCCATCTTAAGTATTCAATCCAAAGCAGGTGGTCTGTGTAGGGGTATGGCGGCTATTCTTCATTTCAGTATGAATGATAATTTACACTGTCGTACATTCAACCTCGGCCTTATCGCAGAATGCTGGCCAACACCCAACATTAGGTTCTGAAAATATCACCCAAGTCAGTGTTCGAAATAACAAAAATTGCCCGAATGCCAACAGGATTCACCATCTTTTGAAGCTGCGGGCTCTGAATAATCTCCAGAGGGTCTCATTTAAAAAGAAAATACAGCTTATAGTGACAAATAAATGGACACATAAATTTACAGCATGCCACAGGGACTCATACAAATATGAAATTAAGGTCGGACGCAAAAACTTCCCAAACACTTCCTGCCACAGGATTTTGGATAGGCGCGTATTTCAAAAAATGATCCAGAATATTCAAACTTTAATGAAAACTCAGTAAGTGTGTAGTGTTCCAAAGCAAGAACTAACCATACATATATCTACTGACCAAACACCTTGAAATATGAAATCATTACAGATAATACTGCAGGGCTCCAGATAACAGCCATATCGGCACGATACAGTAGGAAATAATTAAGAAAACGTAGCAGATACGCACCACAGCAATGGTGTACGGTCTTAGAATCATTTACAGACATATTTATCTGAAAAAGTAGTTTCATTGTTTATTGACCTGTTTACACAAGAGTAGCAATGTTGTGATGCATATATGAAACAAACACAAGATTACTGATACTCCATTAAATTCCATTCAGTACTCTAAATGTACTCTTAAATGTCACATGCAACGTAAAACACAACTTTGCAGATTCTGATACCTTTCGGTATGGACTTACCGAAACAAATCATCAAAAATGCAAAATCAACTTATAAAGTTGAAAAATAACATTGATATCTCACAGGCGCGAGCTTTTTATATGTTATGACAGTAAATAAACTGTTGATATAATTTCATTTGTCTATTTCACCACACGTTCTTACCGAGTCACTTTCTCAGTTTGATACTTAAAAGCGATGTCATTATTTAGCAATGACAGAATTTCTAACTGTGATATAGATATGTCGTTGTCACAGACAAAACTCAATGTCTTGTTTTATTGACACCTGTGTGTCTGCCCGCCTGTCTGCTAATGACAATATTCAATACACAACTGCGATCACTGACCACATGCAATTTGAACTTAACACCAATCAGGCTATACACCATAAACAAAACGCATTGATTTATGGCCCGAGTTCGGTCTCTGTCACATTATGTAATTACACAGACAGGCAGGTGTGATACTTGAACACATGACATGTTATGATGTCTGTTGATTGCAAAATGTTATACACAAAAAATGAGCATGTATTTACAAAACCCAACATCTCTATATATACACACACAATGAGCCCTGAGGGCATCTGCAAATGAACCAGCCGTTACACTTGAGTGCACACCCACCCGCTCTGACTGGGTTCGGTATCCCGGCTGCTTCGTTTCTTGGGAAGTAAACCCAAGTACACAATATTGCACTTTTGATTTGTGATTGTACGCTTATAATTTTGTTTTTTCATAACCAGCAATGTATATTATATGTCATGAATAAGTGATAATTGTGTTTTAATTATGTTTGATTTTTTGGTTGCATGTGACCTTTAAGTTTTTCCAGTACTCCTATATTGAAAATATAAGGAGTACGTACTCTGATGTTGAAAAATTATCTGGAGCCCTGATACTATTTATTACAAAGTATCAAAGTACAGAAACCTTTCGTCATTAATAACTTTGTACATCAGGTGAGGTGAGGTGAAATTGGATTTAACGTCGTGCTTGAGAATATTTCGCTCATATGATGACGCGCATGCGTGTGTATGTGTGGCTGCTTGTACTAGCCCAGACTGAAGCTGGTTTTATAGTGCTAGCCCACTGAGATACCATGCCGCAGTGAAGCATGAATACCCCACTCAGACACATTATATACTGACTCCGAGCCGACAAGTCCTTGTTGTACCCATTAATGCCAAGCGCCAGGCAGGGACCAACAAGTACCATATTTTAACGTCTTTTGGAATGACGCGGTCGGGGATCGAACCCTCGACCTTCCGCTCTCCGGGCGGACGCTCTAACCACTACACCACGGAGGCGGTCTTGTACATGAGAAATCATATCACAGACAATAATGTTTGTGTGACGTGCAAAGATTATTCTTATGAGATATCCTGCAGCAGCCATCTCTGGACAATGAAACTTTTGTTTTTGTACTTGGCAACATTCCAGCTGTATGATGTCGGTCTGTAAATAATTGAGTCAGACAATCCCGAGATTGACATTATGATCATGCACTAGGATTTTGGGATATGACGATATGTATTGTAGCCAGACCACTTGATCCCTTTAGTTGCCCTTCATGATAAGCATTGGTTCTTGAAGATCAATTGTTACTCGGGTCTTCACAGGTATAGTCATCAATGAAAGGCTCTGATAACTTCATCAGAAAGGCGTAATGGTCTAAATTGTGTTTTGTCTTACATGAAACTAAGACTTCTCTGTCAAATGAGTGAGTGAGTGAGTATGGTTTTACGCTGCTTTTTAGCAATATTCCAGCAATATCACGGCGGGGGACACCAGAAATGGGCTTCACACATTGTACCCATGTGGGGGGAATCGAACCCGGATCTTCGGCGTGACAAGCGAACGCTTTAACCACTAGGCTACCCCACCGCCCCTTCTGTCAAATGACTTTTTGAAGGTCCAATAAAGCTTTTAACACATAATGGGATGATAGTTTCACGTCTCCATCAGTACCACAACCCTCATTACCATATTTAGACACCATCTGAAATAACGAGTTTTGTGCATCATGGAATAATAAAAAATACACTATCAAAAGTAGATAACTATATTTTGACTATTCAGCATAATTTTATATCAGATAATTCAGTGACCAATACTTTGAGCAACAATCCATAAGCATTATTTGGTTGCTGTTTACGACCAGTTCCTTGGAACTGATTCCAACCTGGAATTTCTAAAGCCCAAGTCTAGTTTAATTCTGTTCAATCTAACAGGTTGAAAGCAGCCAAGATAAATACACTAAAATCTGCTGAAAATGATGCAGAGAGCTTGGTTTGTGACAATAGATTACAAGTCAATAGAACAGACTGCCATGGGGTAATATATTTGTTAAAATAGGTCTGTCATAAACTAGCTCTACTGTCAGTGCAAAAGAATCCCATACTTCATCAATGGAAACTACATCACGTTACTATTCTCTCCATATGTAAATGGTTATTTAGATAAGGATAGTCTTACACAGGAGTGACATCTTCCACTGCAGGCAGAGACTAAACAGGGGGGTATATGCCTCTTGCAGCAGCATCAGAGCACATCACGTTTATTTGATTATCCACATCCAATATTACAACACCAAAGCCAAATGGCACCAAGAGACAAGCCAAAATGATTATATGTTTACATGATCGCTTTCACAAACCAATCCTTACAGCACTTGTCTGAAATGACCTCCACCAATATACATATAAACAAGAACCCAGCTATAGCAGCTAGGGAGCTGGTGGAAGGTAAATGGCAGCCCCTACTCCTAACAATCCCAGTTTTATTAATTCCCCCAGCAAACACTTCTACTTCTGACTACATTTGCAAATCCAACTATTCTGACTGGAGCAGACTCGGCCCTAGGCAAGAGCACAGGGTCAATTTTCATATTGGAGGCATGCCAAGCCTTTCCACTCTGCCAGCACATGGCTCAACCCTGGCCATCTTCAAGTCATCATGTTGATAGAACAACCTTGGACACTGGACACTAATTGGCATCATTGGTTGGACCCCATGATTACTGGTATACAGCAATATGCTTTTAAACAAAACAGTTGCAATATTTTTTTTCCAGAGAACTGGTATACTGGTAGAGTATTGTGATTATCTCTCTGTTTTAAGCTAAAATCTTGAATATATTTCAATTGACAAAAAGGCATACTTTACAAAATATAAATTGTAGAAATAAGAATCTCTAATGATTCAACAATATTGAGATAGCTGTTATCAGAAAAAATAACATCTATTTTTAGGGTCTAAGTATGTACAAAATAGGATCTGCATGTACAACCAGTGTCAATATGTATTGCAACACAATTTATTTGCCAATACACAGCCCTAATCATTGGTGTCGAAGAAGACACATCTTTTAATTAAGAATTAATAATGTTATTTTAGAGAGTGCTATAGGGGTTAGAAAAGAATAATCAAAAATGTGTTTGAACACACATGAAATTGTGTGCCAATGTAAAAAAAATAGTCCTCCAAAAAGCAACAAACAGTAAGTTTAATTTGGGCTTCTGCAAAGAGTGGAATTTTATTAATTTTTTGATCCACGGATCAAGGATCCATGTTCAAGAAACAATATACAGTAAGTCTAATTTAGACTTTTGAAAAGGGCAACTTTTAAAATATATTTGGCACTGTCTATGTTTATGACTGTTGAAGTTTTTCAAGAGCGAGTGAACACAATACGACCCTCTGGATCAGCACCTCAACCAGTTCAACAGAAAAGCCAATAACACGACATTATGAATATAAACAAAACAGCCTTTATGACCACCTTATGGTATACAATATAGCTTCACAGTATCCTGGATGAGTTTTAGAGATACAACGCCCGGTGTATAACATTATTATCACACCGTATCTGCTGGAGTTGCTGCCAGTACACTCCGGTCTCTAGCTGGATACACAGCAAACCATAATGGGAGAAAATCATGTGTTCACTTTTCAACATCTGATGGTAAAGGGCGTGCACTATCAAGATTTAGGTGTCATGTCAAACTGATTGCAAATATTAGAACTTAGAAACTAAATCAATATGACATCAATCTCATGAAATTATGTGTTCAACTACAGTCCCAAAGAAGGTCTGTCAGCCTTGTGACAATGTGCAAGCTTTATTGAATGTATAACTATTATGATGTCATGTTATTGTTCTGACTGTTGATTCTGATCCAGGAATTCTGAAAAGGCACTTTATCAAATGGAAACATTGGTCATTATGCAAAATTAACACCAAAGTTTAAGACTACTGGCAGGAGTGACCAGCAATATCATGTCGGGGGACACCAGAAGGGTCTTCACACTTGTACCCATGTGGGGAATCGAACGCAGGTCATCAGCATGATGAGCGAACGCTTTAACCACTAGGCTACCCCACCGCTCTTACAAGCAGAAGCCATGTATGAAATAGACTGAGCGTTGTATATTCAACTATGTCATAAATACTATCAGGACCACTTCCTACTTAAACAGGGGCCCCTTTCATGAAACAATCACAGTTTAACGATGATCATAAGTCTATGTTAAACCAAGGAGTTACGATAGACGTAACACCACGCTTGCTTTGTGAAACGGTCCCCAATATCTAAAACAGGTTTTACATTGCATGTAACAGTTAAGTGTCTCGTTGACTTGATTATTTCATTAAGTTTATACAGAAGGAGATTAGCTCTCATTAATTATTTAAAAGGCCTCTTAACATGTAGGTGACCTGTTGCTATTTAGAGATAGCTGATAGACGATAAACCGAAGCGACTGAAGTATAAGCTCAAAATTTTCAACAACCAGTATCTCTCTGATCAAGTATTACTACAAGCCAATAATAAAATTGAAAAAAAAAAATCTGTAAGTTTTACAAACAGTAGCTCTCTCTCCTGACTTCACTGTACTCCATGGAAAAGAATATAGATACTTGGTCTTCCTAACTAATTAACTTCCTAACAATTTATAGCTCTTCTAAAAGTCTTGCTTCTTCTTCAGAATAGATATGGTTAATTTGGTCTACTTCACAGAAGTCTAGATAAGTTGCGTATCTAAAATACTCATTGAAATTTCCAAAATACGCACTGAAATATATCTGTAGGGTCCCAAATACGCAAAGGAAATTACAGAAACGTCTTGGTTCATGATGACTTGCGTACCCTGACTTACCGGTAAAAAACAAATGTGTAACAGAAAGTAGCTAACTGTCAAATGTTACGAGACCGGGTAGATTATCATGCCAACATGTTTACATTTCAATGTGGTCACTGCATAAGTCAAATAATAAAGTAACTTAAAACTTCACATTTGTTTTTATTTCTCTTTAAACAATGACCATGTTAATGTCTGAAGTACAAACAGTTAGATATGGTTATCTTTTTTAACATGTTAAAATTACTGACATAGAAAATACCCAACTTTTAAAAAAAAGGTGGGTGTTGAAATATTTAAGTACCTAGTGAAGATCAGTAGTACCCATTTGTAACAGACACCATGGGTAAAATACCCAGATTGGAAAATGCTTATCTGGAGCTCTGACTTCATGTTAAAACTTAGAACAGAACTTTAGCATAATGGCCATAGTATTTCATATTGTTAACTTGAATTTCACAAATAAAATTATCGAGATTTACAAGGCATAGTTTTTCATTGTTGCATAGTGCAGCACTAGCAGGTGACACATAATGAAATCTGGACTAGACAAGCCAGTGATTGATATTATGATCAATGTCCCATACCATCGGGATCTGAAGGTGTGCAATCATTTGCTTGGTACTACAAATGTAGCTTCTCATCATATTCTAACATAAAGCCTCTAGGGGAGAGAGATAAAAGTTTGTTTCCACAGTTTATCACTACACAAGCAGTGTATGAAATTGACACCAGCAATGAGGCCTCAGGCCAATGAATTTTCAAAAGGGCCTGTATTGCAAAATACATCAGGGTCCTTCATACATTTTCATATTTTTGTAGAATGATTTAAGACTTTAAAAAACCTAAAATCTTTTAAAAACATTTTGTAAACATATCTAAGAAAATGATACAATGTGTTTCTGATGTATCAGTAGTGAGTGAGTGAGTATGACTTTATTCAGCTTTTAGCAATATTCCAGCAATATCATCGGGCAGGGGACACCAGAAATGGGCTTCACACATTGTACCCATGTGGGGAATCGAACCCGGGCCTTCGGGTGACGAGCGAACGCTTTAACCATTAGGCTACCCCACCGTCCCCGGTGTATCAGTAGAAATTTGCTTATGTCACCAGGACACTTACAATGTCAATTAAATAGCTGAAAACAGGGCCAGCTGATACTTGTTTCCAGACGTGAAAACTTACTAGTCTGCACACTGAGCTAAACATTTAGTTTCTAACACTATACATAAGTACAAGCAGTACCCAGCACCCACTTCAAATGGAACCAGGGTCGCAGTAGTGAGTATTTAAACCACAAGGCTACCATATTGTTGCTGGCTAACATGGCAGCTGAGATTTGTGTCCACTACCCATTATTACAAGGCCCACAGCTGGCATGACCCACATCTCCTTCTGTTCCGTAATTAATAATAACAGATTATTTGAGTGGAAGTGTCACTAATGAACCTTAATGAAAGCATGGAATGCATGATGACCTAATTCACTCAGCTGTTTGCATATGTTTCATATAATTCAGGCCAAAAAATAGAAAAACCCTGTTTCATGTTTCCTCCCCATGACTAGAAATTCAAAGTTGATTGAGACCCATGATGATGTGGGTTGGAATTGGGCGACCAACAAAATAGGGGTGAAACTGTATACCACGGTATTAGTAGAACCGTGGTATTTTGCCTTCGGTTCGGTATACCGTAATGCAATTAAAAATAAATTCGGTATTGTCGGTTTTCTGCATTATGGTCAAATCTCATGTACTGAACCGAAACTGACTAAGCCGAAGGCCTTTTACGGCAATGCGTACCGTACCATGGTAAGAGCATACCGTTTCACCCCTACAACAAGATCTGAGTGCCGTTGTACAAAGCAAACTCTGCGCTATCTTAAGGTATGGGAGTTACAGACCTTAGCACTAAGATCGTTTTGAACAACAGCACCCACGTGGTTAGGCTTGTTGACTTGTTGATCTGTGTCAGCATATTTCGTAGATGTGTTTGCTATATCAACCACTGGATCGTCAAGTACAAACTCAATTATTTACACGCTGGAATATTTATTGCTGAAATATTGCTGAGTGTGGAATTAAACAAGAAACAAAGAAACAAACACAAGGCCCTTTAATCAAAGAGAATAGCCTTACTGAAACAACTATCTGGTATCGGTCCTGTGGGGTGGTCTAGTAAGACCGGACCTGTGAAGATCCCGGATAGAATAGGTCTTCAGCAACCCATGCTTGCCACAAAAGGCGACTATGCTTGTCGTAAGAGGCGAATAACGGGATCGGGTGGTCAGGCTCGCTGATTTGGTTGACACATGTCATTGGTTCCCAATTACGCAGATCGATGCTCATGCTATTGATCACTGGGTTGTCTGGTCCAGACTTGATTATTTACAGACGGCCGCCATATAGATGGAATATTGCTGAGTGCAGCGTACAACTAAAGTCACTCCCTCCCTCTAGTAAGACCGACCAAGAAGTTGGATCCTTGGGTCTTTTTTCCCCCACACATTTACCATCAAGATTAATCATTTGTTTTGTTTCATTGCAGTCACCTAGCTGCAGAGACTGCAATGTTTGTACCAGATGCCATCTTATTTTCTGGTAGACGAATCAATATGCATCACATGATCCTCATGTTCAATCAAGTGACAAGTCAATACTGATCATGTGACGAGACTGTACTCCAGGTCAATGTCAGTCATGTGATTTGGGGGTCAACACTGAAATGTCACATGGTATGGATAAATGGAACTGTAAGATTCTTTACAGAGATAAAAAACAAATAATCATGAATACACATCAATCCCACTGAGTGCAACTCAATGCAGAACTATAGATGCTAACAATGCCTCAAGTACTCTGTTGAAAGATGTTGCACTTAGTGGCAGAGGCTGCAATAATGTAGCCTCACACACAATTGATCATTAACATTGTATGAAATTGAACTACACTTGGCAAATGATCATCCATACTGACCATGATTTCGGGTGATAACACCAGGTTTTCTTTTATAGCACTGCTTGGTCAAGATTCTAATTCTACTGCTCTTTCTGGATGTGGGTTAGACATGTCAAAATATTTTGTTTTGTTCAACAAGTGAGTTTGGGTGAGTGAGTGAGTTGGGTTTTATGCTGCTTTCAGCAATATTCCAGAAATATCACTATGACACCAGAAATGGGTTTGTGAGTGTGTGAGTGAGGTCCACATTATTCCGGCTATACATCAAGCTGCCAATAAGTGAGTCTAAGCTAACCAGTGGTCGATATCATGAGCACTGACCCAATATCAGATCAAGCCGGGAAGAAATCAAGCCACACTTGTAGTCCCCAGTCTTGTAATCTTAGTACCAACTTGTATGGATTGCTTGGGAGTTATAGTTATATACAGAAAGTTTTATACGGGAAAATAGAAAATGGCACCCACAAATATAATTTGCTGAATGAATTTTTAACAACCACTAAGGAAAGCATGGTGGCCACTTCTGGAACAAGGTAGACATTATTACATTAGTCTGAGAGAAGGAACTTCAGTGTCGCCTTGACAATCCAGACCCGTCAATACTATGTCAACAATCAATGGAATATTCCTCCCCATGATTACTAATTCATTATTTTGCCAACTGAGAAAGGGCAGTTACCACATAAGGCCTTGGCTGACTGAGCCCACCACTGACCTACAGCTAATCCTCAATGATAAAACAGGAATTTATTCATGGTGATGAATCAAAACTAACAAATAAATTTTCTTCCTTCATAATACAAGTTTCACATTTATACAATTACTAAAACAAATATCCTATTGTCTTGAATCATATGAATGCTTAAATACAGGGGTGGAAATAACCCACTGCCCGACGCCCGAGTCCAGTGTTTTTGTCTGTTGGGCAAGCAAATTTGTATATCACACTGTACCAGTGTCCAGTTGACTTTCCAATATTAATTATGTTGTTTATTTAAAAAATCAACAAGAAAACGGCCGGTACAGTGGAAAAATTATCAGGGCAAGTGATTTTACATGTGCCCCTGTACCGGAGTACACTAGCAATTTTAAAGTTATTTCCACCCCTGAAATACCACCTTTTCTCAGAGTAAATTTCAAAGTCATTTTGCTAATTTATCCTTGATAGGGCATTCACCTGTGCATGAAATGAAACACAGGAAATATCTTCATCCAGAATAGCATCACTCTGATGACAACAGCCTCAGCCTTCCTGCAAGTCTATACTGTATAATTACTACGTGGATGTATATTAGTGGTGGTGCCATTAATTGAAATAATCGAAGATTGGTCGCAATGACAAAACGACCAAGCAATCGATCATGTTTTCTCATAATCGAACACAAACAATTTTGGAACACTTGTTTGCAATAACAATATTTTTCAAAAGGTTGATTTAGTCTCTACATTGCGATAAGCACTACAAGCTCGTTCCAAGTCATGATTAAATTTATCTTAACAACTCCAGGAAATTTATGTTCCTAACACACTAGTCATCCTTTAAAGATGTGAAATTTGCAAATGCATTTTGTGCAATTTGTGAAAAAAACGAGAGAACTACATGTTTTTCTTTATTTTTGGGGCATTAACAAACATAAACAGGAAAATTTGATAAATGACGCTAACCAGTTATTTTCGATGATTGATCGGTTGTAATGAACCAATCATCAAATATGAGATTTAGACCAATTCCCAACACTAATGTATATTGATTCCATCCTTGTCATAAGGACGCCAGCCTTTTGTAGGGACTTATTCCTTCTACATACATAATCCAGGTTTGATCATGATATAAACGAATAATCATTGCCATAGAGACTGGTATAAAATTGAAAAAATTACCATACTACGAAGTGTCTGTAACATATATGCATACAAGGCAGTGATCGGCAAAAGTGGACCATGTGGATCCAGCTGCCAATAACTGTTTGTGAAAGGTTTTCTCAGAGACTTGCACAAGTCTACCTAACCCTCTGGCCAGCTTAGTGGTCTGCTTCTCAAACCAGATACCATTCATTAGTGGGAAGGTCAAAGGTTATGATGTTTGGTAGGCGTGCTGGTACTATTCTGATAATACAGGCCACTGGCCAGAGTTCCTGGCTCACCCATACCAGGAATCCTGGAAAGTGGATGTAAACCAGCATGAGTTGGATTCCTACAATCAACCCCACCCCCCCATCACACCTGCAGCAACCATCTGGATCAGGAATATCAATTTGGTATAAGTCTCAGATTTACTATCAGCAATCACGGTGAGAAGCTCTCTGAAAGCATTAACCATGTACAATACATCAAACATAATATGAATTATTACCAATGTGCAATTATCATGACTCAAATGTTACATGACTTCCAATATATTCTGAAATGACCTTTAGATGCTGCATCCTGCCAGTTTATACAATATTAATGGAGTGAGTGAGTGAGTGAGTGAGTATGTATGTTTTATGCCACTTTTAGCAATATTCCAGCAATATCACAGCGGTGGACACTAGAGGACACCAGAAATGGGCTTAACACATTGTACCCATGTGGGGAATCAAACCTGGGTCTTCGGCGTGACAAGCGAACACCTTAACCACGAGGCTACCCCATCACCACAGAGGCTGTATTGTTTGGACCATGGAGGTAGTCAAAATCATATAATAAAATAGCCATGACTAGGAAAGAACTAAATGTTGCTGGTGTTGAGACAGCAAGGAGAATGAGGCACAGTTGGAATTACAGCCCTTATCAGTTTATATGTGCAAACTGGGTGCTCTAGTAGCACACATTTACACACTGTGAATTTTGAAAAAGATGAAAACATACACAATTGAGCTCCTTAGGCCAAGTAAAAAAATTGTTGTGGTTCCGATTACACCTCTTTAAAATTTAGGGTAGGTAGGTAGGTAGGAAAATATTTTTTACATATTTTTTTAGAATAACACATTCATCAATGTATAATTGTTTATTCAATCAAGCTTGTGGTCATCATATCAACTTTCTCTATGATCAGAATGACCGATGTCTGTCGGTGCCACAAATAATAATGGTATCTGAAAGCTTATTTTATTCATTCCGCTTAAAAAAATTAGGGTCTGCACCAGAATTCAAGGGTCAGTCGGGTAATCGGAAACACAACATTTTTTTTTATAGGCCTTATGTTTTCATATTCCCCTCAACAGCCCGAAGTGTGCTGCAAGGAATAGGACTATTTCAGTGTGTGAGTTGGCTAAGGGGTCAGATTAAAGTATCTATAGGACATACTGAAATGGTGTTTGATTGACACATGAATAATACAGTATTGACAATCGGTATTTCATGCCTCAAACTGTGGCAGGTATTTCAAGCTTTCTCCAGGAATCAATGGAAGAGAGACGTATTGTGGAAATTCACATTCCTTTAACAAAAGTTTCCTCCGTGACCTTACCGACCTACACTAAAATAACCACCCATTGTGCAGAGCTTTGTTATTCCAGCAGGCAAAATAAAGTGAGAATAATGAATAAATAATTAATGAGAAAACCTCAGTCATAGCCAGGACCAGCGGCACTTTCTTCCTAATTTGATCTAACTTAGAAAACTCTTAATACAATAATTGATTTTTACAACTTCCATTTGTACAAAAAATGAGAAGTTTTTCAAAGCACAGCCATTCTTATTTTTTTCCCTATTTTCCTTTACAAAGGCTGGTTTTCGCTAATGGCCATCCATTACATTCCTGGTAGAATGTACATTTAAATCAATGCTACTAAATCACAGTTGGGCCTAAACAAATGTATGGGAAATAAAGTAAAACGTATTATCAAAAAGCCAACATTTTCCTTAAAAACTGTCCCTAAGAGTGTTTCCAAATGGACACATGAGAATAGTGTTATATTTGTATACCATTATCATGCCATGGTTACCAAATTTAAAGCTACGATAAAATCATCAGAGAACCTGGAGGGCCTATCACCCCTTTCAACCATGAACACAGCATTGATAAGCTCATTAGATTTGCAGTTGGGATGCACGATTTCACACCAGTTTTTCTTCAATGACCCCCTGTATGCAAGACCCTGCCTGGTGCAGCTGTACCTTACATTACCATTACTCAGCTTATGCTAGCAGTTTGTTTCATGCACTATTCTACACAACATTCCAGTTAAAATACACTTGTAACCATTACATATGCACAGTAACTGTATTTGGAAACATTGCATGTGCATGTGCATGTGCATGTGCATGTGCATGTGTGCGAGTCCATGTCCTTATACTACTCTCCTTTTGATGGAGTTCTTACTTAATTCCCTGTCATACACAAAATACGCCAAATGTATATTTAAACAACATTGCATATCTGATATCAAATTGGACTAGCACATGCACACTACCCATCTCAAAACCAACATCTGGCCCCTATACCAAGCACCAGCTTTTTTCATTCTCCTTGGAGTAGACAGCAAGGGCAAGTAACTCTTAAACACAGGTTCAATAAACATACAAAGATGAAGTTCATTGAACACAAGTCTTTAAGGATTCAATATTGATACACATTAAAACATAAAATGTAAACACAGCAAACATTGTTGCCTCATTTCAAACAGAAATAGCAACATATCATGAGGTAAAGACAAATATATTTCCTATGGTCTTAAAAACAACAACTTTCTGTGGACCTCATTTTGAAGAGTTTATCAAAAATTTAATAAAATATTTTTAAAAAAAGACCCCCAAAAATGTTTCACGAATTTCAAATGAGTTAATTTGAATAATTATCTGAATATGTCACCAATGCTGCATTACTGGAACCATTTATATCCTCAGCAAATACAACCATACTACAGACTTTACTCAATGAAGACTTATGTAACATATAGTACGCTATTACAACATCATAATGATCAGCATACACTGACCCACTGATCTGGATGTATTCAAGTATTAGCCAACCTGTTTGCCATGTTTAGTCGTCTGTCAAACAGTGTGATAACACTGGCAGCTACAAGATCTGTATCTGCATGGATGTCATTCAAAAAATGTTTTGATCAATAACCAAGTGAGCTGAACATCTCATGATAATCAATTACTATACTAAATGGTTATATAGATTTACAACTCGGCTGCACATTGTGATCAAAATCACAATGGCATATATTCCAATACATATTACTACTCCAAATGATATATTTCCAAAACACTGCCAGTCAGATATGCAATATTTTTATTATTGCGATAACAGGATTGAAATATTCCTGGCTTCAATACAAATATATTCTCCTCAGCTGAAGTTTACGACCCCAATGTAACACTAGTGTAATAAAACTTTAAGAATTGTTGCAAAAACACATCAAGGTTATAAGACATATTTCTTGCTTCAATACAAATTTATTTCTCTACAGCTGAAGTTTACAACCCTAATGTAACATTTGTGTAACAAAACTTTAAGAATTGTTGCAAACACACATCTTGATTTAAAGAAACATTTCCATAATGTTTACTCAACACATTTCTGAAACTGAAACATGTTTTCCCAAATGCCCATACATATCAAACATGCTTAACTGCAAGGAGACTTTTTCTGGAAACATGAGCCAGGAAACACTTGCTGTTGTAATCTGCCCGCTCTCACGACACACAACCAGGCACCCATTCCACAACTCCTAACACTGTCTTCTTCATGAATACACAAAAATATTCAACCTCTTTCAAGCAGTTGGGGAAAGATGCATAGAAAATAAATGATAATTCAAATGATGCCTAGAAGATAAACAGTGATTGTCAGTACTGTGATCCATTCTTGCACCATTGCTCTTCAAAGCCAAACATAATGTATGACATAAACAGCCATGTATGGCTCTCTGACACGCACCCAGATCAACTGTTAGGAACACTTGACTAAGTGGCTTACGAGATTGACAGGATGCACATGTAGAATCTGGCTTCACTTCTAGTTTCGTGGATGGTCTTACATATGCTGTCATGTTTCAGGGAAAAATAACTGTTATGTTTTTCTCAGATTTCCAAATAATGAAAATGGCAAATAAACCTAAAATAATTCTTTTAACTGTTGGAAATATGAAACATGAGGTAAATTGGGGTAGATTTTGAGATGATCAGTTTCAAATATTTCGGACAATGTTATGCCAACTAGTAATAGTATTGTTAAATATGTCAAAGTATGGTAAGTCGCTGAGAACAGGTAAATGCTGCTTTTATCATTGTACTGCAATACAGTGGTAGGGGGCAATAAGCATGCGCTTTACACATTGTGCCCATTTAAGGGAATGGAACCTGGGTCTGTGGCATGGAGAGCGAATGCTTTATCCACTAGGCCATCAACTGCCCTTTAAGTATGGTAATTGCCTGGGTGTGGCACAGTGATCTTATAACACTGTTATGACATTCTACAATAACATATGCTTCACAGACGCTAAAGTATTCTACAATGACTGAAAGTGTTCTGACAGAAAAATTACCGTTATTATATTTGTCAGCAATACTTTCACAGTGAAAGAACCAATGTGTTTTTAGGTACTTTACCCACTAATATCATGACACCATGAAAATCTCACTTGTCAGGCCTTGCTTTAATACATTATCAGAAATATTACAGATTGCATGAGGCCATGTATCCATTGAACTTACAATGGCCACTTGACCATCATATAAAATATCTAGAATGTATTTACATGTTCTTTTATATAATCACACAAAAAAGGTATCATCTTATATCCATGTAAGTCTTTGCAAGGTACTTCTATTGTGGCACAATGTATTGCAAAGGCCTTGACACATGGTGTGTAACTTAAGCAGTCATGTGCTATTTAACATGTCAATACCTTGTCAGAGGTGGTAGTTGTACAAGTGTTCAGTTTGGTGAACATGTACTTGTTCAGATTATTCCAGAGGACTGGGGGTGGGGGTGGGGGTGGGGGTGGGGGTGGTGTATCCTAGTGGTTAAAGCATCCCCTTGTCACGCTGAATACCTGGGTTCTATTCCCCACATGGGCACAATGTGAAGCCCATTTCTGGTGTGCCCCGCCATGATATTGCTGGAATATTGCTAAAAGTAGCATAAAACCATATTCACTCACTCACTCATTTCATAGGACTGGCATAAAACTCAGCTAGACCTCCTTCAAGTCCTTGAACAAGACCATGGGTTACCATGTTTACATTTTCAGTCAGTTCCAAATGGAAGCAAAATTTAAGCAGAATCATCGCCCTCAAATGTAATTTGCCATTGAGGACTACCAACACTGGATTTTTAACTGTCATCAGAATTTAGCAGTCTTAGGCTAGAGGGATGAATGAGCAAAACAAAGAAAGTCTCAGGGCTCCTTTTCATTATATGTATTTTTTTTAACTATGAACGTTTTTCAGTAAAATATGTTCATTTCAGAGACTAGTTGTTAGTCTAGGTTTTACGTTGCTTTCAGCAATATTCCAGCAATATCACAGCAGGGTACACCAGAAATGGGCTTCACACATTGTACCCATGTGGGGAATTGAACCCCAATCTTCAGCGTCACGTGCCAGCTCTTTACCCACTAGGCTACCTCATCGCCCCTCTCAGACTTGAGGACAAGTGTGAATTCCAAAGGCTGTTATTTAGGTCTAATGGAGGGTTTGGGATAGTTCCATCTTGTGGAGTGTGCCATGAGAAATGAGGAGGAACAAATTAACTGACAATGCAACATTTCCTCTGGTGAAGCTGTAACAAGATGATATTCTACTCAGGTGCACTGAAGAAACCAGTGATCATAAGAATCAAGGCAACTATAAACATGGTAGACTGGCTACAAGAGATCCAGTCCACCTGAGCTGTCACTACTTTCCACTAAACAGGTCGATCTCAACATGGCAGAGATATGTTGGATTAAACTGAAGTTTGGATGTCTTCTCAACTATTAACAAATACAAGACAAGTGACTAAACATAGATACTAGGCCAGCACGACTTTACAATTCTCTATCTCTGGAGTCTAATTTACATTCCATACAAGACAGCTAATACTCAAACAGAAAACACAATCTTGACCAATCTGTGAGTGAGTTAAGTTTTACGACGCTTCTGGCAATATTCCAGCATATCACAGCAAGGGACACCAAACATGGGCTTCACACATTGTATCCATGTGGGGAATTGAACCCGTGTCTTGGGCATGACGAGCGAACGCTTTAACCACTAGGCTACCCCACTGCCCCGACCAATCTGTACCGTCATTGTAATGGTTTCTTTCTTTATAGAAATCCTAAGTATTTGTGACAACAGTGTGTGCAGTTGTTTGCATTGTGGTATCTATGGCACTGATACAATCATATTAGAATGGTAAAGATATGTTCTTAGTGCCTGAAGACCTGAAATATTATATGAATTCATTGATACATAACACGTGTAAAATGGTCATAAGCAAAAGAAAATGGACAACAAATCTCAAAATAATCTTTGAAATTCAAAAACTAAAAAGGACATCATCAATCGTTGAGAAAAAGAAGAGGACAAACTTATCGCTGATAAAATGACATTTTCTAAGATAACAGAAAATAAAAAAAAATATTCTTGCTCTTTTCTTGATATTTCAAATTCCAAAGGGCAAATGTAAACATCCTAAAAAGTGACATGTGACATGCTTGAATGAAAATACATTTTTTCCCTGGACAAGATGACACACAATAAAGAAAGACAAGAACGTACCTGAACTGTGATCCTCAAGTTCCCTGAGAAGGTAACCTTCCTGGTCATTAGGTGTGAACATGATGTAGTGCAGCATTTCATGGTTGGTCAGAACAGTTGGCAGAGACACAGCTGGAAGAGGGACACTACTTGGAGCTTGGGACATCGTCGTCAGGGAATGTTGCCTCCATCACTACCTCGGTATCCGCATGTGCGTCAGTCACGGCTAGTCACTCAGGCTACTACAGAAAGGGAGGTGCTCCTCACAACTCGAATGCTAAACTTTTCCATTTCTTTAGAATGCATAGATGAAAGCAATGAGCTGGTAGATATATCTGTTACACTTGTTGATGAAGAAATACTGTCTCTTCTGCTTGTCTGATTGTTAGCCGCATCAATACATACTGGAATCCACACACCTAATTTTGAATGATAAGCAGATTCAATGTTGTAAGATAATTTGCACAAGTGGTTTGGCTCAACATGAAACACAGCTTAGAGGAAGGAGGGCATCTCATGGTCATCAGCACTAGGTATTAACGCTTAATGTTAACACCATAATGAAATATCTCATTGAAACTATGCAGGAAATGCTTGTCAGTAGAGGATATATAACAATTATCACATAAAAACTTGGTAATATCATGTTCTCCAGAATCAAAGACAATCTTTGGATCAGGCTTACATCTCATCCTTACTGGTGTCAGTAGCCAAGACTAGATAGCCTAGTCCTAGGGTTTGCTGTAGAAATCATGACCAGGTTCATGTTGGGCAGGACCTGTGTGCTTCTTGTCTTTCAACAATGGAAAATGGCAAGATAAAAACCTGACTCTTTGACATACTTGCTGGGATACTGTAGCACAATTCAAACACACCATCAACGAAACACATGTGCCATACATCAAACATCGGTCTCAATACTTAAATTGTTGATGCTAGAAGGATTGTTTACTTTGTTTGCATGATTTTCTTTCAGTTTGTCCGTAACCATCAGACTATTCCCTTCTTCCATTTCCATGATATCAGAGCCACATTCAGAATCCAAAGAACTCTTTTTCCTTGGGAAATTTGGACATGACTGCACGTGTGTATAATTGTGTTTGTCATCACTTTCGGTCTCTCTATGGTAGAAATAATTGAAATTTGACACTATAACTGGCACAGGTAGAGCAATAGTTAGAACACCTGCAATTGCACACAGCGACCCTACCAGTTTTCCCCACACTCCAATAGGACGCATGTCTCCATATCCCACTGTTGTCATGGTGACCACAGCCCACCAAAATGCATCCGGAATACTTTTGAAATGAGATTGTTCTGCATCTGCTTCTGCAAAATACACTGCACTGGAAAACAAGATAACTCCTATAAACAAGAAGAAGATCAGTAGGCCCAGTTCTCTCATACTAGCTTTCAGGGTCTGGCCCAAAATCTGCAAACCTTTGGAGTGTCGAGATAATTTGAAAATACGAAAAACTCTCACAAGTCTGATCACTCTCAAAATAGCCAGAGACATAGCCTGGCTGTTGCTTTTACTTTCATCAGCAATCACAGTTCCAAGGGTTATGAAGTATGGAATGATGGCCACAATGTCAATGCAATTCATTATATTCTTGAAGAAACCCAGCTTTTCAGGGCAAGAGGCAAACCTAATAAGCAATTCAAATGTAAACCATATTATGCAACATGTTTCGATAATGAAAAATGGTTCATTGAACTTTGGAATATCATCTTCTTCAATTGAGGGTTGTGTGGTTGACGATTGGGAGTCATTTTTGGTGGCATTGACAACCCTGTAGTGTTTGAATTCTGGTAAAGTCTCCAGGCAAAATATCACAATGGAAAGCAGGATAATCAGAACTGAGAATATGGCTATAATTCTTGCCGCTGTTGAGCTTTCTGGGTATTCAAATAATAGCCACACACGTCTCTGGAACTCATTCTGAGGCAATGGCTTTTCCTCTTCCTTAATATATCCTTCATCTTCTCGATACTTTTCAAATGCATCTTCCCCGAGCTCGTAAAACTTAATTTCCTCTGAAAACACATCCAGTGGGACATTGACAGGTCTCCGTAACCTTCCACCACTTTGGTAAAAATACAGTATTGCATCAAAACTTGGCCGATTTCGGTCAAAGAAATATTCATTTCGAAGTGGATCATAATACCGATTCCGTTTTTGTGGATTTCCCAGCAATGTATCAGGGAATTGGTTAAGTGTCTTCAGTTGTGTCTCAAAACGTAGGCCACTGACGTTTATCACGACCCGCTCACAACACTCGAAGTCGTTCCCTGCCGTTCCCATCCCATCATCCACATTGACATCATCGTTGTCAGTCAGCTTGGGAAAAGACCTGGAATTGGGAAGATTAGATGAACGTGAAATGAGGGGACGTTGCGACATAAAACCAGCAGGGCCGCCATTGCCCTCAAGGCCAGCCATGGCAACCTCCATCCTCCTGTGTCGTCTGCTACATCCATGCACGGGGTACACCCCCGTCAATGCTCCACATTCATTAGGAGCCTACACACAATTTTGGTCAGTATAGGATTATTATATATCGACAAATATGGCGGACAAAAATATTACCCGAGCGCCATGCCCGGATGGTACAGAGAAGAGCTTAGAATCGATTATTTTGACGTCACTTCGTCACTCGTTCTCGCCAGGGGTCCGTCATTTTCAAGCGAGAGATTGTCATGCCCGCGAGCACTGTCATTCGGTAACAAATCCCTAACACGATAGAGAATTCTTCTCCGGCCCATGGTTAACAATCCACACCCCGACATGGCGTTACATTGGCAGCGCACCAGCCTGAACCCTACTTACAATGCAAGCAGAATAGTCCGAAAATGTTCCACAAGCCCATTGGTTCACGAGAGCTATTATTCCTAACGAAACAGACATTATGCAGGCCGTGCGTATTTAAGAGCAAAGTGTGAGAAGATTCATGTCAGGTTATGGCCTAGAGAAGCTCGAAATCAAACACTGTACCTTTCGGATAGTACCTATACCGATCCCGTCTAGCATCTCATGCTTCTGTTGTCTAAAAAACAGACAGTAGTAAATACTGACCAATCAGGCGCGACCAATATTACTCAATGGAATTCCCAACCTAAAAAAATAATCGATGGTGTATAGAGTCACTATTGAATAATTACGACTAATAGTCTGTCTGATAACTTGCCTCAAAATACCATTTTTATTTTTTCAACAACAACATCCTGCCCCGCACCATCATTTGGTGCGGACAGCGTGCTTACCCCAGTCTTTATTGTACGGCTCGCGCACCTGCCGCTTTCCACCAAGGATCGATCAACCACGCTGTGTGATTTTTAGGGACGGGGTAATTTACCATGTGCGTTTGGCTTTTCGCGTGAAATTCAGGAAACAGGGCTGCTATCTTCAAATATATGCATGAACATTCAAAAGGAGAAGGATAGAAGACTATCTTAGTGGCTGTAACTAGAGCAGAGCGTGCAAGATGACTCAGTATCTACCACCTAACTTGCTGGCTTTATTCGCCGCTCGCGATCCTGTACCATATAAGCCGCCAGTCGACAAACAGAGCCACGAGAAGAAGAGAGTGCCATACGGGGGATTGGCACATTTGTTGAAGGAATTTGAGGTAATATTTCGTGCAGTGCCAAAAGAAAAATAAGTAGTGAAAGTGTGCTTGTAAAATATAAATGCAAACGTTGACTTATCAAAGAAAACGAACTTACAGCGTTTCCAAAATGGCGGACACTAATGTCGCCATTGTAAGCTAGTCAGTATTCAGCGGGGCACAAACGCCGTGACACTGCGGCTAGTTATAGCTACAGCTTGAAATTATCGATTGGATGGCTGTTGCTAATGCGCCCAGCAGCCTTCGGTCTTTTGAATTTGTCAACAGATGACTTTTCCAACGAATTCCACATGAGTTTTTGGCACATCTTGTCTACTCAAAGAGTCTGTCGTTACTAGATGTGTATGTTGAAAGCACCACCAACATGGCTAAGAGCACAGTGGCTGGTGCAGCAGTCTCTTGACTAGATAGTGTATAGTCTCCACACGAAATGTATAAATAATTCACACACACTTCCCCACAAGGCGCGCATAATTCAATTGAACCCAGCCATCGAAAGAATACGTAGTGTTGCAAAAATTGATCTCTCGGCAGAGGACTGAAGCAAACACGTAGGGATACACTTTACATTGAATCATCACATGATCAGCTACAGCAATTTACTCTCCTAAGTGCTTAATAAGCGTGTCACACGTACCATAGTTCCTGGATTGGTGACGTATTGTCCCATTGTTGGAACGTGGAAAAGTCAAGCATTGAACAGATTCATAATCTGCTGTAGGATGCTGTAGGTTGCAGTATCAGTGGCTGCCATTAACATATGTACACAAATTCGTTCATAATGTATTGCTGTTCAGGCATTGTGGGTCAATTGATCGCATTTATGCCAGAGCTTTAGCAGATACATCATAGAGGGATGTGCCCACTTTCATGGCAGCATATTGCTGTGTCGTTATTTAGTGCATTAATTGTTAGTTGATGTATGGCTTTGAGGGACAACATAAAAGATTGAACAGTCAGGAATAATGTAGTATAGTCTGTTTCTGATAATGATTGATATTTTTATTGTTGACAACATGTTAGTTGTATGAGTCAGGTTTGTGTGTTTATGGTATGATTTTGCTTTTTAGTAATTTTTTCTAAATGTTAAGAGCATTATTTACTAAATTATGGTAAATAGCATTTACAACAATTATTGGTTGTTAATACACGCAACATTAGCTATAATAATGTACCTAAACTCTGAAGTATGGTGTTATTTGGCTCAACACTTACATTGTGTTTGTAGGTAAGTAAGGACTCAGTTATATGCAAAATAGCCATACTCTGTACTGTAAAGGCTGTTTTAGATGCATCTCACAAATAAATGTACTTTAGCTGAGAAATGAACATTATTTTTATAAGTTTAGAAATACCTGTAACAGCCAAACCAAGATGTTTGACAGTTTGCCATTTCAATTCTTTGGGTACTCAATATTTTTTTTAACTGAAGGTTTGATTAAAGACAAGTTGACAAATGCAAGTAAACAATTACTAATTTTACAATTATGAAATCAAGATGATCCGTATCATTTCTGGCTCCTGTCAAAAAGAAAGGACATGTTATTAAGATACGCACTTTGATTAGAATGCTTGCAAATATGTCTTGAGCTAGAATTGTTTTGGTGAAACCAGTGATTGTTGGTGCCACCAACCAGATGCATTCCAAGAATCCTAACATTTACTCAATCCTTGCTGAGATAGACATACATGAGTACAGTGCTGTTAAAAAAGTTCCACACAGGTGGTTTTGTGTGTAGAAAACTATTCTACCATAAAAGGTTCTCGGCAATTATTTAGGCACACCCAAATGAAACAAGTATTAACTATTTCTTGGATCTGCTTTGTCATAGATAAATATACATTTCTTCATTTAGAATCTTTGGGTTTGCCCATTATATCTATTTCAGAATTGGTTTTGTACTTAATAGGTGAATTTCACTTTTTTTGATACATATATGGACTGGTTTATCTTTAATATTCTTTGCAAACAATATGACTTCAGTGCCAAGTTGATTATAGCGTATACATCAAGTGTTTTAGATGAATTAATAAAGAACATGTTTTACTGTAAATGTTTGGTAATATTCATCTTGCCAGGCTGGGACATGCCAATCTTGTCGCTTAAAAAGTGTACGTTGATCAGAAGGCTTTTTGTGCAAAGGTGTTTTGTGTTGAGCATTTACAAGCCACCAGAAGTTTTGGTGCCAGAATCTTTTTTGAAGAGAGTGAAGAGTGCTAAATCTTTTGCCATGCTGTTTCATCTATGAAATAATAATAAGTCATGATCATGCATCTCAAGCAATGTGACAATATTACCTCATACACAGACATGTAAATGTTATATAGTACAGACTAATGTGGCTTGTTTTTAAAGCTTAAATGCCTAAACCTTTCATAGCAGAATAAGAATGAGTAGTATTGGTCATCAATACCAAAAGGCATTCATCCTATGTATTGTAAAGAAAGGGGGTATTTATTGACCGTTTAAAAATGTAGAAACAGTGCATATGTCAATTGTCAATACAAGTCTCATGTATGTCCAATACATGCATACAATAGCATTAATATTGCCAGTGATAATGGCATTGATTTATTGCTGTATTATCACATCTCCATGTATTGTAGTATTTGTACTGCTCAGGGTCATGAACTTAGGGCCAGTTACTAACAGAAAGGATGAGTCCAGGTAACAGCCAGGTAGTTCATACCTGTGCAACATTATTACTCTGTAGAGCTGGATAATTGATTAAATTTGAAATGGTATTATTGAACTAAAATTTAAATTCACAATATAGTAATTGGAAATAGATGAATTTGTGTACTTTGAAAGAGCAATGCAATATTTCATTACGGATTTGTCCTAAATAAATGTTCATTATTAACATATAAATTAACCGTCTTGATCGGTTAAATTTCATTTTACCCCCCAAATAGAAATCCCTGATTTTATTTTAAAAAATTCCTTGTATTTATACCAGTTGTAATGGCAATTAAAGAAGCATCTTTAAACAAACTTCAGGATCTGGAAATACTGGTGAAAATATATCCTTGAATTACCGAAAGTTTTGTGCATTGGTTCCAAGAAGAGGGGCAGTTTGGTCATCACGCAACTCGTCGGGGAAGCTCTTGTTGTTGGCGGACCAGGTGTGTGAGAAGCGCTGACCAGCGTAGTGCACAGCCTCTTCGGAGAGAGGAGGGTTAGAGTCTGGGGAAGGGTAGTCGGAACTGCTGGGGTCATTCTGCGGACGATAGAGTTGGTCTCGGTCAGACCTCTGCTGCATCCTCAGACAGTTGGGAAGGCATGTTGTACTGCTCTCTTCTGTCCTCGAGTCAACCGAGTAGGAACGCTGACTCTGGGCTGATTTAGACCGACGGATCCGCTTGGCAGCTTGGATCCGATCGTACGTTGGGATTCGATTGCATCGATGTCCTTTGACTGAAGAAGAAAGCAAATAGTAGATATTAAATTGGGAGGGTTTACTATGGGATGTTAGGACGGGAAGTTCTTGTGAACAATCTGAATAAACTTTTTTAAGTTCTCCTTTTTTTTCAGAAAAATATAGCCTCATGATTTAGGTTCAAGAACTACCGAAATGAGAAATGGAGGGGGATAAGTCAATTGTTTTTCTCCAAAATTCTGAATCGCTTAGAGGGGAGTGCACAATATACTTTGTATATATAGATATGTATATATAATATAGAGTAATAATCGGTACCATTGCCTTGACATCATTGGAGATTTCAGTGATTGCATATGTTTAACTTACAACCTGAAATGAATTCATAAACAAAATGAACATTGAGACAATGTACAAGTCAAGTTTTCAGGGATTCTGGGTTAGAATAGGTCCTAAGACACATAATCTGGTCTTAAGAGGGGACCAAATAGACTGGTGGTTGATACCTTGATGAATGCCATGGTGAATTACAGGCCTAGTGGTATAAATTGTCACTCATACTGTCGATCACCTGATTGTGTGGGGCATGCAATTACTGGCTGCTATCATAGGGTGCAATGTGGCTGAGTTCAGCATTAAACAGCAGATAACCAAATGAAAGCCAACCTGACATGAAGTGCAAAGAAATTAACCTTGAAAGTCTAACAGCTGGAAGAGTGAAAACTTGAATCTACATCACAATATGTTAAAAATTCTACAAACTTGAGGATATCTTAAGCATCATTTAACCAGCTCGGATACAGGCAAAGCTGTTTGAAGTTAGTGATTATGAACATACCAAAGAAATTGTCATTAGAATGATATCGCTTTCTGTGAATACTGTTAGTAAATTAGAAATAAGTTGTCAAATTGACAAACAAAATTCCTACCGAATTTGACAGGAGTGCGCTTGTTGCTAGACTTCGCGATGTGTATGATGTCGAACTGCCATACCCATGTCTCCCTGCTTACACGCTCTACTGGAGCCACTCCCTCCGATTACACAGACACAATTGCCTCATTATAACACTCAACTTCATTAAAATTGGACTTCCAGTCCCCTCATTAACACTCATGTATGTGGAACATGTCACTGCAATCGAGTGATGATCACTATGCTCCCATCCTTCAAGCTGTTGTTTGTCCACTCTGTTACACCAGTGTTAAAACGAGGTACCTTTAGAAATGGGATGCTGGGAAGCTAGGTGGGTAGATAAGGTATCAAAAGTATCTTAGTGAGTGGTGTTTAATTGCATGAATCAGGGTTCAATTGGTAAAACTGAGAGGCTATCTGTTGCGAGCAGCATGATGAAGTTGCCCCCATGTGTGCCAAAGACCATCCTTCCAAGGCAGATGTTACTCTAGTAAACAGGCATCATAGTGTTTACCATGTAAATAAAATCCCTTTAATATCCGAACCTTTCAAGAAAGAATGTTGATTACAATGGATTTGGTGGGTTAAAATTTATGAGCATAAGGCAGGTTTTCTCCACTTTTGTATCCGATGTCAAGAAATAATTTAATCAGTATGAGAAAGAATGTTCACATTTTAATTCCTCTTCTTTCATGTAAATGCTGTCTTGAACACCTGTTTGTATTAATCAGAATAGGTTCAAAAAGGACGTTTGTATCCAGGCATCTTGGATGCATGTTTTTCGTGAATAAAGACAAATTGCATTAAGATCAGTATTTCAGTGTTGGTTTTGAAGATTAAACGGCATGGTTTATAATGAAATGTGAGATATAAGTAAATTGTTAGATATAAGTTCAAGTGATACTTTAGATAATGCTTTCATGTATGGACAAAAAGTTTGAACAAGATTCTTGAAGTAGACATTATTTAGATGTAGGTTAGGGCTGCAAAGGTGCATTATTAGACATATTCCTTAGATAATGGTGTCCATTTCATCACAGATTCTAGTGTAAGTAGAGAAAAACAAACTGATGGAACTAGGAAGGTATTTTATCATTCAGGAATTTATCGTTAAATTTCCACACATAGAATTTTGCGTTTCTAATCAACTCACCACCTTGTGACATACTGTGTCTCGTCACCACTTACAGATGATGGGTAGCTATGTCAAGACCGTAGCAAGAAGTCATGCTTTAAGCTTTATATTTCGTTTTTCTGATTAAAGCTGTTTATGGTACTCAATAAAAGTTAAGGACGACACAATTTTTTCATATAACTATATGTAATTGTTATGAAATGAACGATAAACTACATTAATATGTTTGAATTTGGTATTCCAAGACTATATTATGTATGTTAGAATTACAACAATGAATTTATTTATATACTTTGCAATCTGCTTATATGGTCATGGTAGGAGCATGCTTACCTATGTACACATCCATATGTATGAAATGCTACTTGATGCCAATGAAAATTGTTTAAAATGTTAGATTTGAAGCTTTCAAGCAGTTGCACTGACATGAAAGTAAGGGAATCAACTTATGATTTGAATTAATGTCACAGAACTTTGATAAGTGCATAGTGCAAAAATCCAACACATGTACATACACACAGGATTTATAGAGACAGGTTTATGGCTGATGATTTTCATATCACTTAGTTTTTCTTCAAAATCTTTATGGCTTGTGAGATGATTATTGAGCTTGTATCACCCACGCTGGAGATATGGATGGTAGCTGATAGCTGCACCGTTATTGCACATGACGCACCATCTGTTGAAGCATGCAGGTAGGGAAGGGGATATGCACATCACCTTGTAACCTACTTCGCTATCGGGTAACACAGTTGTTGGACAAAAAAATGATAAAACGTATACCTCGTTTGCGGAGACATGGCCAGAGCGATAGTGCATGCCGAAAAGGAACACAGTTAGGATATCTGCCATACACGTTAAGCCATTGTCTCCGTATACCCTGGTCACCGGAAGCAGAACCCTTGCTTCTATGGCGCCGAAGGGGGAGACAATAACCGACAGTGCACCATGGTACTGCTAGTCCATTGCTAAATTTACCCAGTGAGATTGGAAGGGATGCGACAAATACCTCGGTGCTGGAAGCAACTGTCTTGGCAGCAGCCACAGGGAAGTGTTGCACACGTAACTCGTACCACATGTTCCTGTACAAGTTAGGGAAGGTACTTGGTTACGGTTGCCAGGAAAGTAGCGCTACTGTCGTCAGTCACATGACTCGCTCACCATGTCGCTTGACTCAACTGTTGGTCCAAAATTTTGCTGTTCCCTGTAGTTCATCCTGAGTCAGACTTGGTCATGTAGGAAAATATTTTTTTTCATTCTAATGCAAAATAATGTTTGACTTCCATGATGAATAGGAAGTGATTGATATAATAAGTCACAGGTGAAATAGGTAGTTGATGGGGTATTTGAAACATGACTGATATTAGTTGTGATAAGGATTCCAAGACTTAGTTCTACTTCAGTGACAGAATTATTTACCCTATAAACATTATAAGATAGATGTATTATGCTGTTTATCAACTTTATAGAGTAGTTTTGATACATCATTGATTGTACTCTTTTGTGAAGTTAATGATGTTCACATTGATCAGATGCTCACAATCAATAGGTATTGATTGCTTGTGTCCGTAGTCAAATAGAGATGAAAATTAGATTTAATATTTAATGTATATTTCAAATGTGTAATGATCAATATAATTGATACTTAATTGCCCCAAAATGAGCAGTAATAAGCAACAAATTGCACATGTTCATTCAAGGATTAAGATCTGTTTCTGTGCCTATTTTGAAACCAGGACATGTTAATTGTGAAAAATACATCACTCCACAGTAGTAAATTGTCAATTAAAGATCTATATTGTTTTCATACATACTTCTACATTTTGAACCAACAATCAATTGGTGTAAAGTATGTTGGTAAAGATACTGACTGTGCCAGAGTTTGAAGTGTATCGCTCCTTGGTGGTAACTCCTGAGCATGTTACACTGTCAGAGATGAATGTTCTGCCATGATGTTTATGTTATGAATTCAACTGCTGCATAAAGTATTGTACTCTCATACATGTTCCTGCCTCAGTCCTATACAGATTGAGTGAGTGAGTTTAGTTTTAAGCCGCACTCAGCAGTATTCCAGCTATATGGTGGCGGTCTAAATAATCGAGTCTGGACCAGACAATCCAGTGATCAACAGCATGAGCATTGATCTGTGCAATTGGGCATGTGTCAATCAAGTCAGCGAGTCTGACCACCCGATCCTGTTTGTCTCCTCGTGCGACAAGCATGGGTTACTGCAGTCTAAGTAAACTTAGTCTCAATAGTAGGGTAACGAATAATACTGAGGCTAAGTTTACTTAGACTGGGGTTACTGAAGCTTCATTCTAACCCGGACCTTCACGGGTCAGTCCTATATAGAGCACATCCAGTAGACATTTAAGGCTCCATGTGTGGCTCTGAATTTGTGTATTCCTGCTACTACATATTTATGTTGTGTTTCAGGATCCTAAAGACACCCCACCGCCCACTCGTGTTGAAACCAGAGACGAGCGAAAGGAAAGAAAGGTTTGTAAATATCTACTTCATTTTAAATTGACTATACTGGTTTACAAGTATATTTTATGGTACAATGCTTCACCATAGCAATGCAAGCACAGTTATGCAATTTACTTTTTTTCAACATGCTGAAACACAATTATTTTTAAAAAAAAAGTTTTACTTATTTGTTATCTTACATCGTGGCTACCCCCCATTCCCAGTCCTCCGAGAATATTAAATGGTTAGTCTTTTACAAATGCTATTTCCTTGTCGGACAAATCCTTCTCACAGCACAATTTAGAAATAGTACTGTTTAGAAATATTAAGACCACTTGTTAAAATTTAACATTTTGAGCACTAAGTGACTGCGAGAGGAATAAGTCAAACCATGAATAGGGCATTGTCTCTAATTAAAAATGTGAAACTTTCAAGAATTTCAATTTCCGATTCTGTGAACTAGCTTTACCTTTCTTCTGAGAGTTTCCTGCATGGCTGTTGATTTGTTCCCGTGTAACCCAGTACTCCTGGGAGAAGGAGCTGTAGTTTACAGTTCTCATTTACCCCATTGTACTTGAAGCTCAAACTAATCTGGATTTACACAAATTACAGCATTATATTTTTAATGGCTATCCTTAGTCTTACTGCCCATCGAGTACAGACATGTTTGGAAATAGTGGAATATAAAAGTGATTGTCAGAAGACATGCACATTTGGAAAAATGTTTACATCCCTGCCATTGCTTATATTAATGGTTGAATGATAATTGAGAAAAGCATACAGGCTGTCAACATTTTGTTAAACATCCAAGGAATGAATAAAATCTTTTCGTAAATTTGACATTGATTAAGCTTAAAGTGTTCATTATTTGCTCATTGAAGGTCATGGGAAAGAGCAGTTCTAAAGAACACTTTGGCTTTCTGAGCACAGTTTTTGTGCCTTGAGTTCAGGTTATTAAGACTGAGCTATATTTAGCTTTATAACTTTTGACAACTTGGCCCATTTAGCTGGCAATGGTGTGTTCGTGGCTCTGAAGACTTACAAGTCAATACAAAGCCTGAGTCGTGTTTGGGTATAAACTTAATATGGTTATTCAGTTTGTCTATACGGTATTAGAGAGGCTGTGTCTTCTATTGCATACCAGTGCATGGTGGGCGTCATGGTTGAGAGGCCATTGAACAAAATGTCATCTTGCACCCAGTTGTGAGATCAGGGAAATAGTAATACTTTGTGTTTGTTTACGATAAGGGTATTAAAGCTTAACTAAAGCTAACCTAAGCTGAAAGTGTTGGAATTGGTCCAAAGTAATCTATTGATTATTAATCCAAAGATATTTCTTCTGTGCCTTTCCTGGCTTAAGATGCTTAAGTTTATGAACCTATGCACATCGTATGCTATCATAGATTGCCAAAATATATATTCTCTACCTGATCAACCTCACATACAGGTGCAAACTCGGACAAGCTGTATAACAAGTTTATTAACTGAAACGCTTAAAATTTGAAACTGAACTTACAGGGCTCGATTTAAGAGATGTTAACCCACTTGCACCAGTCATATTCCAGTTGCACTGTTTTTATTGCAATATGTAATATCAGAAATATGCTATTGAATTATTGAGATGTTTTATTCAAAAGTTTACCTACTCAAAAATTGACTTGCTCCTGGTGCAAGTTAGACTAATAACTAGGTTGCACTTTGTAATCTTGGGTTGCACCAGTGCAAGTAACAAAGCACTATATCGAGCCCTAACTTATCAATACAGTATTAGGACTAGACAGCTCTTGTCAATATTTTGTTGCTACTGGTTTACTTGAATAAACATGTTTCATTTTTAACATGTGCAGGTTTGATTACCAACAGAACAGTATATATTGTATTGTCAAATGATATTGTCCTATTGGTAGATATTAATGTAGCGGTGTGTTATTGCATGGGAATTATCAGAATATAACATGTACAGTTATTGCCGCATTGAAAACATGTCACATGGGAAATGATCAGAATATTATTAGATAGGATTCCAATAGGATATTGTTACGGGATATGTTGTTTCCTTGCTCTGATGTCATTAAATGGGAAACAGTTGTTTTCTGGTCAGGACGTCAGTAAGAAATAGTTGTCTGCATGGTTGATTTGATGATGCATTGTTGGGTAACAGGAAATTGATTTGCGGCACACAATGGAAACAATGTTTACATAGCAAATGGTTCAATTTTTTCTCAAACTAAAACATCTACATATTGGTTTGATATTGCATTTTTCAAATTGATTCAAATTATGTTTTAATTTCAGCGCAAGGAACGGGCTGAACAGCATGCCTACAAGTTGGAACAGGACCTGGCCCTTTGTAAGTAATGAATGTATTCCTCATCATTGCTGTTACCAAGATTATCTTTGTGTGATGAGGCTTGGTTATATTACCCTGAAAGTGATTGATAAAGTTAACCATTTCACATGGTCAGGCTAACAGAAGAAAAATCCAGTTTGTCCAAAATGTACAGACGAAGTCTGATAAATCATGGGGAGGTGGGTGAGATAACACATTTAATGAGGCACATATTTCAGTGAAATTATTTACTAAGAATGCAGTGTAGTGCATTTTCATGTTCCATTGAGGAGGTCACAAATTTTGTGAGGCTCGTACAGTGACATTCACTGAAAATACAGTCTAGTACAAGTTTTCACTATGCAGTGTTCACAAATGGTGTTTCAAAGTAACAGGACATTGGGTCCTGTAAGTTTCAGATGTCTGTCTGACCCATTGAAAATACACAGGACCCAAAGAATAAAATTAAACACACGTTTCAGATTTAACATTTCTTATAATTGGCATTGAAATTATTAACAAACATAAGTTTTATAAACAGCAAACAAGTGTCACATGTCACATATAACAACTTCAGTCAAAGTCATTGTGAAATATACAGTCAGACACTGGGGCTGGTGGGTTATAGACTTTTATCAGACCTTTGGCGAATCTGCCGGATTTGTCAGAGGGTCAGACGCTATTCGTGAACACTATGTTCTGTAACAAATTACAGACTGAAGATAACAAGAAATGTATTCATAAGAAGTGTACTGGTATGTATTGCAAATAAATGAGTGATTTATTGCAGTTGCAATACAAAAGTCCTGCCAAAAACCATCTCTACAAATTCTAGAATCACAAACACATTTGGCACACTTGAACATCAAGCCCGATCAACCTCCAGAATTGTCTTATTAAAATCCTGAGATAGTGCTCAATGGGTTTCTCTCCGACTGAAAGTTAGCCGTCAATGGTACTTGGAACTGAATCACAAATTTCCAGAGGAACAAATATTGCGCTTGTGTTCCATTCCCTCTGAAGTATGCTTCAACAAGAAAAGCTTGGGATTGTGTGTTGAGTCAGGTTGGCCGAAAGACTGGCTTTGCAGGCACTAGGTCATGCATGTGGCAAGGAGCAAATTTAATCAGCATTGGTGACTACTTCATCAATTATTCAGACTTAACGAGCAAAATCGGGCAAATTTTCTTCAGGAATTTACATGAACTGGTTTTGCTATGGGGAAAGAGGTGACCTTGGTGTGACCTTGTTTTTTCAACGAGTGTTTATGGCCTCTTCCAGAGGATTGGCTTCTGGACCCTGTGTCCATAAATGCAACTTAAATGATTAATTTGTGGTAGTAACTTTCTCAACCGAATGATTGTGGAGCATAGACGAAAGGTTTATGGCCTGCATACGAAATGATTTTCATAAAATCAGTCGTAACTGAAACGGATAGACTGATAAAATAACATCTTAATTGTGGACCAAGAATCTCTTGATGCGATAGTATTGCAGTAAATTGATTAAACTAGGTGGCAAGTTTTATTGGTATGCTGTAAATATCATTTGGGTTTGATTACAAGCCGCCCTATGTCACACCAACGTGGTGATCCAATCACTAGGGGCTGTGTTGTGGGCAGGAAAGAAGGGACTGCTAATTGGCTGATGTAAATACGTTATTGTATCAATCTGGTTTGGGCCTCAGAGCTGTCCGCAGTAGGAGTCGCATTTGGTGGCAGCAGTGGTGGTATCGATTAACTCGTGATCAATGTGTAAGTCTCAAGGCAGGGCCCAGGAGGAGTGGTCAGTGCTGATAGCTGTATTCAGATACTCCAGTTGTTGGTCCTGTTGAGAGGGGATGTCATGGGTGTCATGATAGGGACCTAACTACCAGGGGGTGATATGAGGGGAGTAATACTTTGCGTATCATGGTACATGGTCACAAGTTGACATTTGAAGCAGACGGTACATGTAGCAACACAGCAATAGTGATATTTCATTGGTAGATGTTTGACTGGGTAACTTTGTGTATCTTCGTAAATCTTTACATGCTTCATCATGGAAAACAACTGCCCAGTTATTCAGCCTTTTGTCCATATTTGATTCCTGACACTGCTGCAAGGTACGAACTTGCTGCTTCTGTCCTGACAAGACGGTATTGATCAGTTAGAGCAGCAAATATCCATGTTCACTAATATTAGGGCTGGCTATCAATATATATCAGAGATCGATAATCGTTATTTAAATATTGGTCAATTATCGATAAATATCGGAGAAGTAACTTCCAGCACAAATGCCCAGAAATGTCTGAAAGAAATAGATATATTTCACCCTGATGTTGAGTGGAGTGGTGACATGTTTATGCATGCATAACACAAAACAGCATCCTGAACATAATTTGAAAGCAGCCCATGAATAAAAGCCTAATTTTGTGTTTGTGTAAATTAAATCTTGGTTCCATCACAAACATTTTATGTAGAATAATCCATGAAACTATTTTCATATTGTTAATCATTAATCATTTTTCCTATTGACGATATTTCTGATTATCAGTCTTTTAAGCCAGCCCTACTTAACATTCAAAATACACACAGAAAGATGACATTGTCATTATCTTTGATGCCATGATAGGTTGAAAGTGGTTTGTATTGCCACATTGCAAGAGGTGTTTTGTCATAAAACTGAAGACTTTAATTTGATTCTTTTTTAAATTCTGAATTCAATGAAATTTATCCAGTTTTGAAAGCGTCATTACCATTAATGCCAAGTGAAGTGAGGTTGAAGAAGCTTTTATACATTTTATCCCATGCACGCTATTACTTGACAGATTATATTGGATGAAGTTAAGACTGAATTAAAATACTCCAATCACAGAACTATGGGGTCAATATGCCCCAGCTTCAGTGATCATTAACTGATTCGAGATGTTGTCCTGCAATTGAGAGTACCCAGAAAACAAAACGTTGCACTGTGATGAACCACTTGATCAATGATTGGGTTAGGGCCACTGAACGCGAGAGATTTTAATCGCTGCATATCACATGTCCTGAATGGATGTGGAAGGCGAGTGTTGGAATTTAATGATTTGTATTGATGTTTTAAACTCGGCAAATATGGCTTGAGTCTCGCTGTGTTAGTTACGTGTGGCGGTTGTGAGGGAAACATGATGTATGAGATGTGAGTGATGTTATGCTTCTCGTATCGCAGAGATTCTCGTTAGTAAACAAATTATCTTCATTGATCAGTGATTGATGGGTAAATAGGTGAAAAATGGTCTTATTGACCAGATTAGTGTTCATATTGTCGTGTTATCAGATAGGATGTTTCATGTGTGATTGAACTGGTGTGAACATTGAACCACTTTCTTTTTACACGGACACTCTTCATTTCTTTTGTGCCTCAACATTGATGTTATTAGAAATTATTACCAACAGATAATGCAATTGTAATTGAAGAAAAAATATTAGTTTTTGACATAAGCATTGATACACTGCTTCTGAATGTAATGAACCAGATTCAACAAAATAAGTGTCTCCTGTCATGGATGTTTGATTTAATAATTTCTTTGATCATAAAAGAACTGGTATTTCAGAGATATATATATTATATATAATACCTTTGTGGACACTTTAGGAGTGTCAAGACGAGGTTTGATTAATAGGAATAGCAAAGATGGATGGCAACTGATATTCTTCTCAACTGTTGATAGGGTTCTTTTGAGTGTCTGGATGTGGTCTGAGTGTGGTCTGAGTGTGACTTATTACATGGAAGTGTTGTCATACAAATAGTATTTGACGTTGCCATGGCACTGAAGCATGTTAAACCTAATTTATTGCTGGTTAAACATAATTACAGTCATATAAATTGTCCTGACATTGCATCAGAGAATGAGATACTGCTGTATTATTACCAGAGAAATATATTAAAGGTACAGGGATTTACACGACACGAATTCCTGTAAATATTGACAATGGACACAACAAAATATATTAGCGGATCCACAGGGACTCAGAAAAAGTCTAAATACTCTTTGTAAATATTCCAATCAAGTGACAATACGTTATCACTGAGTTTGCTACTAGCTGAGTTATGTTATCATTTGCAATTCAATTACTGTAACAATGTAATGATCATGCTACACAATACAATAACAGTATTAATAATAATATTTAAGTGTCAAGGACCCCCAATTGTTGTCAAGGACCCCTGAAAGTTAAGAGTATGAGTCCCAGGAACCCTCAAATACAGGACTCCATGTAATTCCCGGAATGTTTAACTTAAGACATTAGTCTAGTTAGTTAGGTTAAACTTAACTTATAACAGTACATATTCCTAAAATAGTCCGACTTCATCTAGTAACATTCAGTTTTGTCTAGTATGCTCAGTTACACAATATAATTCTAAAATCTTCTGTAACTAGGGGCCATATTTAGGCGGAATCTAAAAATTTTATAGGGTACCAAGTGCTGAAAAGATGCAGAAAGTCATTTTCTATACCGGAGCAACATAAGACTACAACAAATATAGATGAGTCAAAAGTGTAAACATTCCTTCATTCAGTGTTGAGGATCCAAGTTAAAATAGAACCTCAGCATCTTAAGCTGGTTGTACAAGGCAACCCAATGGTTCTGGTGGTCAGTTAGCTGGTTGTGTCATATGCCCCACACTTGTAGGTCACTACTGACATCAGTCCCTGGTTCCCTGGCCAAGACGGGTGTATTTACAAGCCACAGTCACAAACCTGGCTGGGATCAGGTGGTCAGGCTCGCTGACTTGGTTGACACAGGTCATCGGTTCCCAATTGCGCAGATCGATGCTCATGCTGTTGATCATTGGATTGTCTGGTCCAGACTCGATTATTAACAGACCGCCGCCATATAGCTGGAATATTGTTGAGTACACGTAAAACTAAACTCACTCACTCACTCACAAAACTGGCATATTGGTAAATGCAAAATACAACTCTGCCCAAAACGTTTGCAGTTCCTTTGACCCAGCAAAATTCTAGACTGTTTTGTGTGATATGATGTGCTTGGAAC